GAGAGAAGGAAGACGGGATAAAGACATGCTGTGGAAGAGAGACAGAGATTAATAATAAGTATGATTCAGTGATTCAGTACCGATCAACATGCACCAGTGGCGTGCTAGACAAGCAAGCAGAGCCAAATACCCTGACAATAAACCAGATATCCTACCTTTCATTAATCATTTCCTTGCTAACATGCTAAAGGAGTTATTAAAAGCTTGCTCCTCATAACACATCATGGTCAAGTTGGTTATTAAGAGGAAACTTGTCTGTTACAATGATAAATCATAGAGGGCTTGTTTACTTTCTAATGCTAGCTCTGTTTCCATACCATGTGCAGATGAGCACTGATCTCAGAGCAGTGAAAGCAAAGCCAGCAGCTGCCTCAGTTTCAGAGCTTATCAACATTGCGCATGTGCAAAAAAAACTTCCTGGTTTCTCAGCTTGCCCAGCTACAACCTTTGTTAATGGGACGTAGGCATTGCCATAGAGACTCCAGTAATTTGAAGTCAACTGAGTTAAGGCTACTTCCAGAGGCAGTAGCAAACTGTGGCCACAAGTAATTTAAAAGATGAATGCAAACAGGCAAGAAGCTTCATGCAATACAGTAGATAAACAATTGAAATAGCTATCTTAAATTAAGAATAAAAAGTTAGAATAATTATCTAAAAATATGGAAATCAGATGAAAATAAAACATTAAGTATTGTTATATTATTATATTATATTATATAACAGTATAGATAAACAGGCACAATACTTGTCAAAACAGAATGGACACAGTTGAAATAGCTAGCTAAAAAGTTGGAAATATTTAGCTGAAAGTATTTCTAGCAGTTGAAATTGAAACATTTGTATCAAAGGTTGAAGTAGCTTGATAAAAAGTATAAATAAACAATTAAGATTTTAGCTAACAGTATGGCTAAACAAGCACAATTTAACCCAATGGATACACTGTTAAAAATAGTCATTATATATACTGGAGAGCTGTTAAATGGAGTAGTAGCTGGTCATGCCACCAGTTCAGATAATACAGTTTCTCGATAAACTCCTAAAAGCAGATATCGAAGTCGCCTAAGTTGACTTCATTTTTCAACGGTTTTCTGAACTAGAGGTTTTAGTCTTTCCGTTCTAAACTGGCATACATGTTGGGTCATTTTGTAGATGTGTAACAAACATTTCCTCTGACAGTGTGGCTAACAGATGGCGTGTATAGTCATGCATGGTCAGAAGCTTTGTTTTTATGCTTTCTGTACAATAGGATGTCTCGGCTAGAAATCCATCCTTAGCTCCAGAGGTGTCTGTTTCAGATCTCCATTTTTTTTGTCTCTTTGTTTTTACATTTCCATCTCTCTCTTTCTCTCACTCTCTTTTTCTCCCAATATTCCCCCTCCACTCGCTCTCTGCCTCTCATCTGATATACCTTTGGGTCATCGCTGAAGGATAAATCAGAATGTTTTTTTCATGGTGCTGACAAGCAGAAAACTTTGTTTGAGAGGGTTCATATAGACATTAGGAGCTGCGTATAGCAGTTTAGCGATGCAAAATGTGCAGGATTGCACAACCGCGTGTGCATGATTGCACTGCATACAACACACTGCATATTTAAAGAAGACACAGCAAGCTAGCAGTAAAGTAGCAGTAGACTAGCCAGCGTGTTCCAGAGAGTTACTGTAGCTTCTCAGCTTTGTCATCCTTTGTTGGCCTGTCTGTTAAGGCCATTGGATAACAGGATGTAAATAAGACTGCTGTTTGCAGGTGTCTGTGCTGCTTGTTCACCTCAGAGATATGTAGACTACCACCCGGCTTCACAGACACACGCATAACAACACTCTCGAATCTGCACGACAGCTTCAAATCCACCCACTGCAAAACATAGCCAGGCAGCAAGAACTGTTAACATCTCTAAAATTCTTTTTGTGCCAACCACAGGAACCTGTAATCTCCTCTTCCCTGAAGGAGAAAGTAATGCTGTATTGCAAAATGGAGTCTGTAGGTTAAAGTGGAGGACAGCACATACAGAAAGGCACCCTGGCTTAAACAGAGTATGGAGGGTAAATTAAAGATGAGCATAGGCAAACATTCCCCCACCAAGCTGTGGGCAAGTTAAACCTCGGTGTGCCTCTGGTTTTCTGTGTAAAGCTGCAGATCCCTGCTCTGATTAATGTGAACTTGCTAAACTACAGTCTGAATGCTGGCATAGAACAGTATGTCGTGTATTCAAAGCTATAGGTGGAAAATGCCGAAATTCCCCTCATGAATCAGTAGAGATAATCTAATCTAAACTAATCTAATCTACAAATGGCAAGAGGTCAGGCTTGTGAACGTTTTGCCCATAACTGCCTGTGGTTCTTCTGTTAAATTTGATGAGCCCTTTGAATAATGAATATAACCACATTCATTCAGATGGGTGGAACAAAAGGTGTGTTATCTTTTTTTTTCCCCTTTCCTTTCCACTTGATCTGGGGGCTGAAAGAACAGTACAGAGTAGAAAAAATGGGAATGCAAAGGGTAAAACGGGTGCAAAGAAATAGAAAAGAGATGATATACAGTAAAAGCTTTGCCGGCATAGGGCTGCATCTGCACCCGGTGTCTCCCACCGCTCTCTCTCTCTCTCTGCTCTATTTATATCTCTCTGGGAAATTGCTGAGTGGGCTCTACTGAGGGTTTTTGCTGTAATTGATTCAAAATGCAAGTTGTCTCTTTAGTGGTGAGAAAGAGGAGAAAAGGATACCCAGTCAGTTATACGGACAGTGTGTGCATGAGGGGAAGACGAGGCTCCTTGCGTTTCAAACTGGATAAATTGGTTGACCACTGTAATAAATACAGTGTGGTCATTACTGGGGCCTAGGTGAAATCGCCAGAGAGCTTCTTCCATCCTATGATAACTGTAATGGGGCCACACCCATGATATCATAAAACTGTGGTCAATTGTTATGATCCATCTACAGCATATGTGCACTGCAGCTGAATAAGATATTCTATAACATGTCTATTTTTCATTTGACTGCAGTAAAAGCTGATCTACTATCAATTACAGCAATAAAGAGATTACATCAATTATTCCCAGCTGGGTAAAAGCCTCGACACCCATTATAAAACACAATTTAAGACATTTCTGGATTTGAAGCACTCTTACAGATATTTTTTTTAAATTTTCAGAAAGGCATTATTTAAAATTGGGGTCCTGTAGTGTTTTAGTGAGTGAATGAAGATTAATATAAGAATGTCAAAATCAATATTTAGCCTCCAAAATACCAATAATTGGCATGCGTCAATTTTCTAGTTGCTGTGATGCAGCGAGGAGCTGCAGTTTCAGTGTTGTGAGTTTGATGGCTGATGCCAGAATATGAATCATGTTTAGCTCGTGGTATTGCTGACAGCTCGCCACCCATCCAGAAACAAAACACCACGTTCTGCAGCTGCATGTAAACTGTTGCTGTTATTTATGCCCAAGAAATACCAAAACCTATTCCACCCGTTTTCATGCTCACACACTGTGGAGGGCTGTCTCTCTCTGTCTGCGCGCTCTTTCATTTTTTAGACTTGTGGAAAATGCTTCGGTTTTAAGCGTGTGCCATGATTACAGGTCCTCGTTTCTTTATGATTTATTTATGGAGTACATATAAACATCGCATTACACAGAGCAGGGACACTGCGTTTAATGGAAAATGCATGACTAACGACCAGCATGACTCAAACAGGAAGGCCTGCCTTTCCAGCCGCTGTAGAGACGCACCCAAAGAGAGAGCATTTTTCGTATCTTTCAGCTCTTTATTTTGGTTTGGAGTCTAACCTTTGTGTTGGCTAAGCATTGGTTATATTACACTCATTAATACATTTGAGGCAGGAGATGTTTTCAGTGAAATGGTTC